ATTTTTTATTTGACAAGTAAAATATAAATTAATAATTCATAGTGAACAGCATTAACTTGTTTTAGGAAATAATAATTAACTTCATCTAAAAAGGATAGCACTTTAATGAAGCAACCCATTCATGAATAAATACTAAAAAGTCCAATGTCTATGGGTTAATAAACAAGCCTAAATTATGACTAACAAAAAGGGTAGAAGCAACGTTTTGTTTCAATAAGTAAATGAATAAAGAGAGTTTCAAAACCAATAATAAAAATGAAATAACAAATAATGTTTTTCCTAAAAAACAAAAAAAAGTTATAAAAAATCAATAATTTATCTTCTTTCAAAATATTAAGCAATTAATTAAGTATTAATTTAACTTGTTTCTATTGTTCTTGAATTGGAGGATTAATCCCACCTTTTCACCTTCTTTAAAGTTATAAAGAAAAATAACCCACAACATTTTAATTAATAAACAAGAAAGCTATTTAAATAAATTATTAAATAATAATATAATTTCTTTATTTTTAATATTTATAAAAAGATTCAATAAGTAACTTTATTCTATAATAAATTTCTAAAGAATAGAGCAATTTCAAATGTTTTGTTATAAGTTCATCTCAGCTTTGCTTTGTTAGTTATTTCTATTTCAATTTTGATTGGAGTTAATTCTTCTTTAGTTTCTTTTCCTCTTCTATTTAAAATACTTAAAGAATTTTGTTCTATTCTACTTGTATATGTGTTATTATTTATTTCTAAATTCATACACAATTCTTCGTTTCAATGGTACACTTATTGTTCAGTTTTGAATTTGAACTTGTCTTATTGTGATAAGTTCAAAAACAATAATTACTTCTTTCCTTCCTTTATTACTTATTGAAGTTAATACACCATTTTCAGTTTCTTATTATTTATTTCTCTATTAGTATTTCAAAATTCTATTTTATATATTTTATTGACAAATGATTTGTCATTTAATAAATGATGTGATAGAACACTTTTCATCAAACGTATTGTTTTCTAATTCTGTTTTATCTACTTTTGTTCATTCTGTGTCTTATTATAACTATAGGAAGTGTTATACATAATACTAATAGTGTTAATACAATAACACATTTCACTGATTGTTTTTGTGCTTCTTCTTCATTGATATGATACATTTATTTGTAATGTTTGGTGTAAGATATAATTTTCATATTCTATTAAATAAAACTATTCCATCCCTACATAAGTTCCAACGTTAATTGATTGGTAAGTTAGATAACCTGATTTATGAAGACAAGATTCACTTTTTTTAAATATTCATCAGTACAATCAGTACAATCTTATTGACTGAAACTTCTTTGTACATTCAACAACAATATGTGTTGATTTTTGGTGACTAGTTTTTTATAAAACATTGGTTTTGATATGGAATATTATGTCTTACATCCAAAACAACCTCTGTAATTGATATAATACATTTCATTCCATTGAGCAGAAATTCTTATTTTTAGTTAATTATTTGCATCTTTAAGTATAGAAACATGTGTATTCTTTACGTCTTAAACGTTTAGAATAATTATAACAATTCTCACAATTTATTAAGCATTATAAACATCTATCCATTAAATACTTTTATTATTTCAAGGCATGAAAATGTTTCTTGAAAATATTATACTAACTTGCTGATTATTTGATAGAATATTTATAAAATGAAATATATTTATAATATTCTATAATACTTTTAATAATTTGATAATTTTGAAGAGTATTTGAAAAAAAACTATACAATAAATAGTTTGTGTTTCTTCAATTTCAATCAAAGTTAATTTCTATTTAACTAGACTCTTTTGTGATTATTTTATGAAATTATATAACTAAAAGGTTATTTGTTGAAGATTTTTATTACCCAATTCATGTAATTGATAACACATTATTTTATATTTCTTTAATAAAAAAATAGTTTAATTCATAATAAACTATTCAGCTATAACTATAGTATTACTTTAATACTTAATTTATTATGACTTATGTATATTTTCATATTACAGTAGCTTTGTTTAACTTTTATTTTTATTTTTATTTTGTTTCATTACCTTTCAGTTTTTCTCATCAATAAATTCAACGTTTATTCATTTTTTACTTGTTTTTACTATTTAATTGGTATTCAATGATATTAAAATTATTTGTTAATTTATATAAATGTCTGACTAAGAGTCAACCTTTTTTGTCATTCTAGAAATAAATAATGAAACATTTAAATTATGAATAAATAAAATTACATCAAAAGAATTGTTACATTATTTATTTCTTACTACTTTTATTTAACTTTAGTACTTATCCTTTATTCGTTTAAAATAATACAAGACATTTTCTTTGAGTATAACCAAGTAATTTTGTTGTTTAATAAAAAAAAGACTTTTGTAATAAAAGAGAAATTCATTTTTTGTTTGAAAAGAAAAAAAAAAATTCTCACAAATTCCATTATTTTTAATAGAAACTAAAAAAAATTAATGTTAAGAATTTACAAAGAATTACAAAACATATAAAGTGAACCAAACATTACTATTTTGCTTTAAGATGATAAGTTTTCATTAAATGACTTATTAGTGAAGAGAAAAGCATTTTCTGAACTGATAATAAGGAGTGTTTATTTTCTTCTCATTCTTACTAAACTATTTAAAAAGGATATTAATTTAGTTTAATTTTTCTTTTTATTAACACTAATAAGATTTTTCGTGAATAAACATTTTTCTAAATATACTTATATTTATTACTATCTACTTGTGAAAATGGTGTCGTGTTAACCAAATATATTTAATTCACAAACAAAATAAAAGAGAATAACAAATTAATATTAATTATATTAAAACTATAAGTAATAGTGTATTAACAAAAAGAAAGAGTTAAGAAGAATAAAGAAAAGCAAAAAATAAGGGAAAAAAGGAAGTAAAAAAAATGTTAAAAAAAAAAGAAAACTAGAAATTTCATAATAACAATCACATGTCAACACCACCTGCAGATCTTACTTTAGAAGATATTCAACTTAATGATGGCTATGATATTGACAAAATTATGGACCATTTTAAAAAAGAAGGAAGATTAGAAAAAAAAGCAGTATCAGACATTCTTAAAAGAGCAGCCAAATTACTTGCTGCTGAACCAAACCTTATTGAAGTTGAAGCACCTTGTGTAATTTTTGGAGACCTTCATGGACAGTTCTATGATTTAGCAAACATTTTACTTGACTATCCTCAACCAAGTGAAACACATATGTTATTCTTAGGTGATTATGTAGATAGAGGTTATTTTGGAAGTGAGAATGTTTTACTTCTTATGGCAATGAAAGTTACATATCCACAAAGAATGCATTTGTTACGAGGTAATCATGAATGTAGATTATTAACTACATACTTTAATTTTAGACAGGAGTGTTGTTTTAAATATGGAGATCATATTTATAATGAAGTTATGAAAACATTTGACTGTCTTCCAATTTGTGCATTATTACATAGTGAATTAGGTAAATTTTTCTGTGTTCATGGAGGTATTTCACCTAATCTTAATTCACTTCAAGACATTAATAAATTCAATAGATTTAGAGAACCACCAGGAGCTGGTTTATTCTGTGATTTATTATGGTCTGACCCAATTGATGAAAGTATTTATTCTAAATTAACAGATAAACAAAAGGAAGAATGGCAACATATTACCTTTACAGAAAACAAAGTTCGTGGGTGTTCTTACTGTTATGGATTTCAGGGAGTTGATGAGTTCTTAAAAAAGAATGAAATTACTTCAATTATTAGAGCTCATGAAGTTCAAAAAGAGGGATGTAACTTACATTATTTCAATAGAGATGATATTACACATCCATTAGTTATGACATTATTTACTTCACCAAATTATTGTGATGTTTATGACAATGATGGCGCGGTATTAGTGTTATTAGATAATGAATTAAGTTTCTTATCATATAATGCAGTACCACATCCATTTTGGTTACCTAAATTTCAAAATGGTATTAGTTATTCATTACCAATATTTTGTGATACACTTAATGCTGTTGCAAAGAAGGTATATGCTTTTTCATTATATTCTGATTTTGTTGATGAAGACGATGATAAACCAATTAAATTTGCATTACAAGATGAACCACCAAAGAAAGAAATTAAAGCACCTGTTGTAATTAATAAACCAATTGAAAAACCTAAAAAAGGTATTTCAGTTGAAGACTTTTTACAACCATTAGACCTTAATTCAACTGAAAATGATAATAATTCATTTAGAAAAGCTGCAAGTAGAAGTAGGTCATTTGTAGATAGATTACCTTCTGGTATTGTCCAAAGAAAGAGGCCAGAAAATAGACCTCGATGTTGTACATTCTCTATGAAGGGACAATTTAATTCTACATTCGACAGATTCTCTTTTACAAGTTTGTTTTATATTATATTTCTTAGTATATTTCTTTAATACTCATTCTTTTTTAGTTACTGCCTCTCCAAGATTTGAAGAAGCTAAAACTAAAGATGCTGAAAACGAAAAACGTCCAGCTGAACTTGAAGATTTAAAGAAACAATGGGGAATAGATGATAATTGAATATATTCAAACTCTTCTTATTATTGTTTAAAAAAATTAATTAATTTGTTAATTGACATTTGTTAGGTGATCTACAACAATAACAAACAGCATTCATACATGAGATAGTTAATTGTGGTTCTATATGATGTTTACTATGACATATTTCTGCACAAGATGAACATATAAATTTTACATCACAATCAAAACAATGATAAAAAGTTTCTGTCATTCCTTTAATAAACCGATCTCTTATACACCTCTTTTGTTCTTTAACCTTTGAGTTGATTTGAATATTTATGGATTCTATATTAGATTTTAATATCATAGGTAGATGATTAGATTTAACAGTTACTATAAATCTATTTTCTTCTAATAGTAAATCATTTTCAACTACTTTCTCTAAGTCACATGGAACATTAACTAATTCATTTCTTTCCATTTTTGTTTCTTCATTAATAACACTCTTTATATTAATTAATTGTTTTTTTATTAATCCATTTTCTTTTGAACATCCTTTTTGATGTAAAGTTTGTTTTAAGTCCATTTCTTTTCTTGACTCATCTATAAAACTTACTAATGAATCAAATTGATAAAATCTATAATACTCACCTTTTCTCAATATTGAACTACAATACGGACATTTCTCATTAAAATTTAATGCATCATCTAAACACTTCTTACAAAACGCATGTCCACATTTGGTAACACAACATTCACTAATATTTGAAAGACAAATAGCACATGTTATTTGAGGAATAATCTTATCAAATTCCATGTTAAACTGAATATAAAGATAATTTTTGATTATGAACTAAATAATTTAAATTATATTATAATTTTGTGTTATAAATAACGATTTTATTTTAAAAAGTTCATAAAACAAATTATGTTTTAGGATGTC